ATATATATATATTGTTTTTAAAATAAAAAGGGTTTTTATTTGTTTAAAGTTTAATTTATTCCTTCTCTTATACATGTTTCCAGACGTGTAAATTATGAAATACATGTATAGGTAAGGAATTATATATATATATATATCTTTGGATGGTGTTGCAAAAACGATTGTCCATTATCGTGATTTCCCACAGTCTAGATACTCTTAACAGTAGCAATTATAGTAATGCTTTTCGGATAAGATGGAGAGGAATGTGTATACGATAGCTATGATTCTACTGAATTGCTATAGGATTCTGTAAGCAGAATAGGATAACGTTCGCTTGAAGAATTTAAGAGGAACCATCTTGACAGCAATAGTTTGAAGGTATGTGCAAAATGTTCAATATATGAAGACAATTTCGTTTCATTCAACTGACTTACTGGATCACTTGATATATATGTGATAGATAACGACAGTGTGAAGTAAAAATGCCATGTTTTTCACCATAGGTACATGTTTGTTTACAGAGAAGATCTTTATATATAGAATGCTTTATTGTGTTTCTACTTTCAAGAATTTTATACTGTATTTGTTTATGTTATTATTGAAGGATATTTTTCACATTCTTCTTCTTCTTCTTTTGATGACTTTCAATGAACGAAAGATAAAGATTAGAAAGATCAATATAAACATTGTAGCATTAAGGATATTCAATTTAAGGTATTTGAAATGAAGATTTAAAGCTTAAAAATTAAAATAAATATTAATTAAGTTTTAGAAATAGGTTGTTTTCTATTTTGCTTTTCTAGTTTTCAAGTATAAGGTGGAAACTCATCCCGTTTATCCTGGATTATCTTAGTTAAATTTTCATAATTTTAACATTGAGTAAAGTAATTTAAGATAGTAGAACTTATATATTAAACTTTTATATGTAACTGTTACGGGATAAATGAAGAATGGAATAACTAAACGTATGACAAAGGTACGCTCGACGTAAATATTTTTTTGATACCTAAAGGATTTCAAATGTCGTCTCGACCAGTATGTGGCTGACAGCTACTCACTATAACAGTGATTTGTATAACAGATTCTATTTTCTTGGACAACGTTGATTTTTCCACCAATAGCGCATTGGACCTGTCACATGCAGCCTTTCTTTCCAATGACAAGGGAATTGCAAAAGTCAAGGAGTCATTTACATGGAAATAGAATCAAATATGCAAGAGAAACATAGATTTTTTGATCATTAGTTGTTTCTATTATTTGTAATTTTAGATTATAAATTTGTAGAGGGAGGGATTTGTAGATATTTCATTCATAAAGTAGTACACTTAAAGAGCAGATTTTTCTCTAATAAATAAACAAAAATGTTAATGCTTTAAAAAAAATGGATATATTTACAATTATTTTTTTAATATACGTTTATAAAAATATATTTTTTAAAAGCATTTCAATAAGATAAAATTATACTTTAAACGTTTAAATAAGTTTAATAAAAACAATTTATCGCATGTTTATAAATGTCTTTAAAAATATTTAAATTTTAATAACATTAAATTTATGTTTGAAAAATAAAAATATATATACATTTACATATAATTNTTGAACAAGATACTGACAGTTCCATAAAATCTCCTTCCTAGACGGACTTGTCAACTATGATTGTCTTCGACGCAAGAGATTGGATGTGGAACATCAAGTGGAAGTGAAAGCTCATTCATTCCAAGAGTGTTTAGACGAATGTGTCAAGAGATTGGGTCACTCTTGCCAAGCTGTCACCTACAGTTCCGGATATTTATCTTGCCGATTTAGTACAGATCAGGACAATAAGAGAAGTGGACGACCAAAACTAGTGGATGACAAATATTACGATTACTACGAACTTAAGTGGCGTAAGTAATGGATGGAAGAGGAGACTATTAAAGGCACTAAAAACATTAAAACGATACTGAAAAATAATTAATTCTACAAATACACTGTTGCTTTAAACTCGTTATTTTAAAATTTAAATAGCAATATAAAATAATCAACATTTATTCATTCCTTGAGTTATTAATTGCGAATCACTAGCAATATTTTAAAATTTAGTACATGGAATATATTCCCTCAGAGACGTGTAGGCCTATTTGTTTTAAAAATGATAAATCCAACAGAAATTACACCAACACTTTCAATTTCTTCTTCATTCAAGTCACAATATTTTTCATTTTTGTTTAATTATATTTTAATTTAGATATATTTAATTCGTTTATTGAATATTTTAATGTTAAAAGTCTTAATATCAGTCAACTGTATTTTAAATTTTAAGCTATTATAAATTGTTGTATCATTTTGAAATATATTAATTCATTCCAAATTATTTCCAGTGCGAGGAGCTCCTAATCAAGGACATCCAGGAGGATATCCAGGAGGAAGTCACGGATATCATGGAAATCATTTTGGTAGTCGTTCTGATAATCCTGGAAATAGCTACAGTCCCTTTGGACCGGGTGGAAATTATGGAGGACAATTCGGACCTGGATACATTCAAAACAGTAACTATGGACATCCTCATGGTGGAGGGTATGGCGGAATTCAACACGGCAGCGGTTATGGTGGAATGCCTCAAGGAAGTGGTTACGGCGGCATTCATCATGGTAGCAGTTATGGAGGAAGACCAGGATCTTACGAGAGAAATTGGCACAGACCAGGACCATCTTACCCATATGGAAACAGATTTCGACCTCCGATGTATCCTCCTCGAGGTCCTCCTCCTATTCATGGAGGTTATCCTCCTCTTCCACCTCGTGGTCCACCATTTCCTCAGGGTGGAGGTCATCCTCCTCCTCCTCCTCCATTTATGCCCGGTGGCTCTCCAGAGATTTGTAAACCTGGAATGCTAGGAATGTTTCGAAGAGTAGGAACTGGATTGCGTATGAGAAACTTTTATATCCGTCGAGTTGTGAGAGCTGAACGAATAGAAGAGTGTGAAAAGGCTTGTATGGACGAAAAGGACTTTTCTTGTGTTGCCTTCAATTTTAGGTAATAAATTTAATTATAATTAAATAATTTAAAAATAAAAAAATTATAATAATAACTAAATGATTTTATTATTTCTAAGGAAAGAAAATGAGGGAAAATTCGTTAAAAAATCACTAAAATTTCTAGTTTTTTTTATTGCTTTTTTTTGTATATTTGCATTGACAACTTAACTTTTTTTTATACTAAAAAAACTTTTGCACTTCACACACTTCACTTTCTAAACTTAGTTTTGTAACTGATTGATTGCATTTTTAAATTACCACATGGCAAAAAAAAATTGATTACTACTCAAAGTTTTAATATCAAGCAAAAAGTTTAAAAATAAATTATTATAAGCAAAAAGTTGGCTTATAAATAATGTTAAAAATGGATACAGAAAAAAAGAAACAAGGCATGATATTTCCATTAGTTGTTGAAGTTATTTTTTCCTTCCTTTCTCTTCCTCTTCCTCCTCCTCCTCCTCCTCCTTCTCCTCCTCTTCTTCTTCCTTGTTTTCACTTGCAAATAATTTTTAAAAAACAAAATTATAGAATATATTTGTTTAGATAAAATTATAAAATTATCATATAATAACTTTATTTTAATGTTATTGAATGATTCAAAAGATCGTATCTTTCAGAAACTATAGCCCTTTGTTATTCTTTTACCAACTTTTCTTTATGGAAACGAATTATATAAAACGATTCAGGAATTTTAAATAGGAATAAACACACTTTTAAGTAATGGAAAGGATTTATCTAAGCGTACTTGACTTTATTTTCATTTTTTCCCCCTTCATCTTTTATATTACTTTCTCTTGTTTTTATAAGAATATTTTCTTGATTTTTTTCTTCTATTTCTAAAAATAAAAATAAAAAAGAAAATTCCATTATATATTTCTGTTTGTAATAAAATAAATTAAGTAAAAAATCTTCCTAAACTTCTAAAAAATTATATTTAAAAAGAATAATTTTTATTTATTTATTAAGCAATAAAAAATTCTTTTTTCATCTGTAATGCTGCAACTATTTAATTAATTTTATTAGAAATATATATATTAAACTAAAGAT